CTTGAGGTGGAAAAGATTGCCCTAACCCAGCCTGAGGTCATGCCCGAGTCTCCTCCAACTTCAGCCTCTCCGACTCCAGAGTCTGCTCCAACTGGACAGGATTCCATTGCTGGCCTGACAGCGGAAGACATCTTCAACAGCAATACTTCCCAGCCAGCGTCACCACTCCTGAGAGGAAGCCTGCTCTCCCTGAACACTCTGCCAACTCCCAGCCGCTCCTCTGCTCGCCAAGCGCTGGGTGTGACTATAGTGAGGCAGCCTGGACGAAGAGGGGCTGGAGACCAGGTGCTGGAACCTTTGTTGTATCTTCAGGTGATGCAGCCATCTGCTCTTCTCAGCTGTCACCACCGCAAGCAGAGAATGGAGCTGTCTGTGTTTGATGTGGCCTTAAGAGGAGTGACGTCAGACTACAAATGTTTGGGTAAGTTGGAGGGGAATTAGATTACAGTAGTTTGACAAGTGCGGGTCTTTAATTTTATAACGAGGCTGAAGCCCATGGTAAAAGTAAGTCTGGTAAAACGTTTTAGCATTCTTATAGTTAAACATAAAGGCATAGCTTTACCATCACATCATTTAAAGACATTTCACAGATTTATCAGGACACTTGGTCAAGGTAAAACTATGCTGACATGTTCACTGTCCCTTGTTATTTAAAATGAGCCACATTAAAACCTCGGTTCATCACAGAGTCATTTGAACCTGAATTAAATACAAGTTAAAACATTTGGACTGGTCAACATTTTATATAAACTTTGAGAAATGAGGCTCACAGTTCTTTTAAACGTGACTAGATGTCAGCACCATTGTACTGTGTGTCATGTTAACTCCTTTCTATGTGCTCCTTTCTTTTCTTTTTTTTCTTTTAAATTTGTATAATTTTATCCAGACCCAGGAAAGACTCTTCCAGAATCTCTTGACTACAACGTGTTTTGGCTGCAGACAGTAGCAGCAGAGGTGGACAGTAAGACAGGCATCCCTCCCCCTTTGCTGTGCCTCCAGATCAAAGATTTTCTCAATGGACCAGGTGAGTAACATACCCACACGCACACACACAAACACACCCCCGTGCTTCATGCAACTTTTGTACACTCACGCTAACATGCTCATTGACGACATCGAGCATTTGTTTCACATTACACCACATTGTTCGCTGCTGTAAAAGAGCAAGTATGAAAGCTGTCTCTCTCTCCCTCTGTGTCTGTCTCTCTCTCCCTCTCACACACGCACACACACACTGGACAAACAGACAAACCATGGATTTATTATTACTCTGTGCCACAATGAGTTTTTGATGCTATTCGGAGAGTTTTAATTAAAAGGCTGTTGATAGCTGTTAGGATTTAAGACCTAAGTCTCTTCAGTGTGTACAGGGTTCGGTCATCTATTTTTAGAGAGTCATGATGTAGATATGAACAGCTTTAAGCTAAGGTCAACGACCTCAAGGAGCGGCCGACATATTCTTCTGACAGATCTGCAGTTAATAAAAGCGTGAGTGGGCCGCGGTGTGCAATCTTCTTATTCACATGAGGGTTTCATGGTGTGTGTAGGCACAAAACATCCTTCACAGTTTAGCTTCCTCAATCCAGCAGGCCAGATGTTGCCAGATGCATACACACAGACGTTCAACAATGGATATACATTCACATGTAGATTGTTCTTCCTTCCACATGCGTCTAATCACGGACACATATCGTGCATGTATACAAAAGGAGCTGTAGGCTGGACCCCTCGCCTACATACATCCCTGCTGTCAACAGAAGAGGCTCAGCTGCTCTGAGGCTTTTGTCCTTATGGATTCACACAACAAAACACAGGTTTCTGTAAAAACTGAAACCATACACACGCACACTTGGCACTCCATGTAAGCTGACCAGTGGACCTACACATAATTGTACAGTAGCCTTAGAATGACAAATAAAAAACAATGAATCTACAACCTTACGTATATATATGTGTATGTGTGTGTATGTGTATATATATATATATATATATATATACACACACACACACACACACACACACATACATGCACACACACATACATGCCATGTTGCTAAATGTAATGAGGCCATGCTGACCTGATCTTTGTCGCAGAAACACAGGTACTGTTTGTCATCAAGGTTGATATTGTTTAATTTGATGCAATTTTCTTCACTTCTTTCATTTCTTCAGTTTTTAATTACTGGATCATTATATGCCATATGTTTTGTTGTGATTATATCTAAGTCTGGTATGGAGTTCAAGTATAGACTCAATTACAGTCATGTGTTTCCCTTGAACTAGTAAAGTGCAGAGTTGCCCCTGTCTGTATGATAACTTCCCACATAATCACTCACATTTTTCCTCTCTGTGCATTTTTCCCAGCCCTGATACACACTCATTGACACACACACACACACACACACACGCACACACACGCACCATCCCTCCCTCAGTGACTCACACAGATCCCCAGTCTCAGTGTGAGGTTGCCCCAGGTCAGGTCCTGGTGGAGATCTCTTGAACTGACCACACATGCTACTAGTCTGCCTTCACCCACACAGTGACACATTCAAACACAACTGTGTGTTGTTTTGTGTGATCACTCTGTGATGGAGATTATTATCCTCCTCTGAGATGAAGCAGCAAAGGAAGAAGTTACAAAGCGCACGAGAGTCCGTGCAGTGATGGAATACACTAATTGCTGCTGTTTACACAGCACATGAAGATAAACATGTGCTGATTCTGATATGTTTATGAATCTTAAATGAAGCTTCACCATCGTTGGTCAGAGTGCTTAAGCTGGAGATACGGGATTTAATTCCTCCACTGAGTCAGGTTTATTTGGATCAACCAATTTTAAATATTAAACAAAAAGGGTAAGAAAGGATAACTGAAGATGAGATTAGGAAGGAAAATAACAACCTGTATTTTGTTTTTCTGTCCCGCCTTATTTCCAGAGACGGTTTATTTGCATGCTCACTGCCTGTTTGTGCTGCCATGTGTATGTATCATGGCTGGCAGCTCCACTTTGATTCAACACTGCTTCACATTTGATTTATTTCAGTGAGGCGCAAACAGAGAGCAGACCGACATGAGGCCGTGTGTTTACAGCAATGTGCTCGCAATTTCGGCTGCATTTATTCTGCGGGACCAATCAAAGCTGCCCTCCCAAGGTTGCTGAGTGGAAAACACTTTAAACATGTGTAGTGTAAATTAGATAGATTGACCCACAAGCAGCAGCTGCTCATCACACACAATTACATACTACCCACTAATGTACTTAGAGACCGTCAAATTTGAGGAAGACATTTTGACTTGATGCATTTTTAAGTTCTTGACAGGAAAATAAATCACCTCACAAAAGATGCTCTAACAAGGAAGCAAGGAAACAAAATCAGTATTTTATCAAAGTTATATAAACTAAAAGGCGATACAAACAAAAATTTAGAATTCAGTGTTTCTGTTTCAATAAGAAAGTAATTCATGGTGGAAGATGCTAATATTGGGTATAAAAAAATAAAAACCAAAGTCTAGGCTCTGTGACCAAAAAGCAGTTCAGTGGCAACGTGCACAGATGCAGTGTTCTCATCAGTTCTGATGTGTTTCTTTTTACTATGTAGATGTACAGTCCTCTGATTCTGCTTTGATAGTCAGTGTTTACATGATACAGGCATAAATGTTAACATCTAAAACTATGTTGAAGTCTACAGTTCTTTCATTGTTAAACAAATTCAATTTTTTTTTCCTCAGTTTTTTTTTTTATTATCTTTGTCTAAATATGTTTTCTTTTCTAACAATGAGGAAAATTCTGATCCTGGTTTTAATACAGAAGCCTAATTCAACCAGCAAGTTAAAAATGTTCTTATGACAGGATAGCTAATAATTTAAGGCCTGTCAACTCTTAAGGATGTGAACAGAAACCCCTGCTGAATGTGTGAAACATTCAAGGTCTTTGGTAATAAATATTATCAATAGGCACTCCCTAAGGTCAATCATTATTGTTGCATCAATTTCTCCCCCAGGCTGTGGCTTGTAAAAAGGAAACCATACATCATTTTTTGTGGTTTTACTAAACTGAACTTTCTCAAACATCTGGACACGTAATTTTTGTGACAAAGTCAATCCATAGGTCCTTAGCCTTTTTGTTTGATTGTTTGTTTGTTTTTTAATGAGAGGTGCAAAAGTCAGATACCAAATGTGTGCAGCTGGGAGGCATGCGACAACATTACCTGTAGGATCTGAATATTTGTAGGAGTTTTGACTGAGAAACTAAAATGGCACATTCTCTTGTTAAGACATGATATATTTTGTTTTTTAAAAAAACAATATCTTTATTTAAGCTTTGCTGCCCAAACATAAAAAAAGGTCTGCAAAAAAATGAAGATGAGAATCAGAGAATCAGTACTGAGAAGTTCTAATAGTTTTTACAATAAACAGTTGTGAATGGGAAAAATTATTTACCTAAAACTCGATTAATTAATGTCCAGGTGCTAAAGAAGACAACAGAAAATCTAATTAAATGAAAAGGTATTGTGCACACTTCTGTCCCAACCTTGTTCAAGCACCAATTGAAGACTGTCTTCAATTGGTGCTTGAATACTGAGTAGGTCCAGGCTGAGATTTCTATTTTGAACAGGACACTTTTTGAACAGTGTGAACACACAAACACGCACCCTTTTTTTTTTTTTTATCTCATCTTTCATGCTACGTTCCAGTCTGGGACAGGGTCAGTGAACATGTCTGGAGGTAACTGCTACCACTTGGAGATGAGAGCTTCTCCAAGCCCTCTGCAGAGAAGCAGCAGGTGATATATTAGCTAGAACAAATTGGAACCATTACTCTCTCTTCTCTCTGGTTCCCATCAAGCTATGAGTTTGTAGAAATGTTGTCAGTTACTGTATACAAGCTTGTGCCCCTCCGAACCCGTCCAGGACCACTCTAATCTGAGTCAGATGGCCTGAGAGTTGCAGGTCATAGGCCATATTTGCTTAAGACTACTTTTTGTGACAGTGGGCTCCTACAGAGTTGCCTTCTAGGAATTGACGAACAAGAACAAACACAAAGAGCAGCACGTACATATAGATCCTAAAGTATGTTATTAGAGTCTTTCCCCCCTGTGTCTGAACGAGACTGCCCTTTGTCAAAAGTCAAGTGTAAAGAGTCAGTTAGAGAAATCAAAAGCAGATCGAGAATAGGTTTTGTAGATTTTTACAGAAACACACACACAAACACATACACACTTCAACACCAGTTCAAAGAAGGGTTGGCGTCATGTATGACCTTGAAACCTGGATAACAGGCGTATTTAATCTCCCCCTCTTTGCTCTGTGTGTGTGTGTGTGTCTGGAGTGTGTGTCTTGTCAGATGTTGATCTACCACTTTCTCCAGTACTAATAGAGGCTGACACCTGAGAAGGGTCAGTCGATGAAACCCGCAGCCTGTTCATATTACAGCCTGTTCATTAAAGCTGTATTGACATCAACCACCTCTCTATCTCTAGGCTTCAAACTTGCTCCTTGCATAAGCTTTTGAAATCTTAATACTCTGAAAGTCCTACAGGTAAAGCTTAGGTTTTTCCAATCAAAACATTTGTGCGTAGGTGTGTGTGCCACTGTTTGAAAAGCCCTCTTTTGAAATGTGACTGCTGGTCGGTTAAAGTAGCACATTTTTCAATTATTGGTAATTATTTCCTTACTTTCAAGTCTTGGTTTTGTGTTACCAACCTTTTGAAGTCCTTTTGCACAAAGCCACTTTTTACTTGTCTATGTTTTACAAGTTCTTTTACTTGTAGGTCATCAAAACTCTTTTTTTGTTACTTAATGTGTTGCTATATTTTTGCAGCATTTTTTATTTTGCAGGTGTTTTTGTTTTTTCTTTTTGTTAGTCTAGACACTGACTCTTTTTACTGCCAAGGATATGAAAATCCAGAGGGAATAAAACAGTCAATGTCTGATTTAAATTTGTGATTATAAAAAGTTTTGTCTCTAACATTTAATCACTAATCATCAGTGTTTTACATTCTGAACTACCTTGGTGTGAATTCTGATATAGTGTCTGTGTCAGGCTGTGGGGCTAAAAAAGACCAAAAAGGGACTTCTGAAAGAAGGACAATTGTTAATCAGGACCAGGACTACATATGCAGAGCGCCAAGCAAGGCCCGAGCCTGAGCACTGGCTCTGTGTAGCTGATCGGAGACAGCTTTGTGTGATTACAGAGAGGGGAAGAGTTGCTGAGTTTGGGGAATGAAGAAAAGAAAAGGACTGAAAAAGTGAGAGGAAGCAGAAAGATTGCTTATATGAAACAGAAGGAGAGTGGATGAAAGAATTTAGGGGGAGCAGAGGAACCTGGAAGAACAGCTGCATGCACGGCATTTATTCCGCCACTGGAAATTCACCTTTGCGTTTTATCTTTTCCCCAGCTCCTTTCCTCAATCAGACACATATTTGGTCAAAAAGACAAAGACCAAGCATGTGTCTCTCTTCCTCTGGTTTCAAGGGATAAATCATCTGAGTGTTTGTGCATTAAGTACACATGCACAGGTAGAGGAAAACAAATATTCAAAATATGAGGGAAAGATGTGCTGTAGCATTGGTTTAATGTTGCCTTCAAGGACCTGGTTTCTTCTAACACATTTATTGTTTTAAAAATGAAGAGACATCTCTGTGGGTAGCTTTATGTTGCATTGTATTTGTCATGATGTATTCAGAACATGGGTAATATGGGTAAAAACACTTTTCATAGTTGTGTGTTGCTTATACTTAAGATGGATGTCATGTCATCTTACCCTTTCATGAAGACAGACAAAAGAACCTCAAAAAACACATGTTAAACTTGAAAACAGCCCCTCCTTGTGGTGGTAAAGACTAGATTGGGCCTGACTGCATTCATGTACCTACTCACTGCTGCTTCTCACCTAGGAAGAAGAAACATTGAACTCATGTGATCATGTTGAAAAAAATCATGACCAAGTAAAACCTTATTTACATAACTCTGTAGTGGTATAAATGGCACTGGTTTGAGTTGTGTGTTGGATCAACTGTGAATAATCTGTCACTGAAAGAGGAGGTAGCAGGTCTAAGTTTGTTTCAGGACACGTTTCTGTGTACTATTTTATGGGTTAAATGCACACAAGTGTGGTTTGATAATGACGGCTGACTCATCTTAAAAGCCCCCACATGGATTGTGTCCATGTGTCCAAGAGCAAACACACAGCCAGCAGTGACTTTTCAAAAGTTTTTCGTAGCTTTTACATAGTCTAAGAAATCCTGCTTCAGTTTCAAGATTAAACAGGTCGGCACTAAAAAGAAGAAATATTTAACAAACAAGAAACAGAGAAACAGAAGTCCAGAGATCTGTGTGTTAACAAAAAGTTGTAACTGCATATATAAATATCTGCATTATACATAAACAAAAGAAGAAAATCTTCAAAATGTTCTTCAGTTTTGCTTCTTGTTTACCCCATTGAACTGATTTTCTTTCTTTATTCTTTCTTGTTTCCTCAGCTGAGCTGAACCTAGAACTATCACGTCCACTGAAAATCAGTCCCACATTGGCAAAACTAGAGCAGGCCAAAGCCTATGTCCAGAAAGTCCTGCCAGACCATGTGTGGGATTCATCCAGTAAACCATCATCTACTTCCTGTTCACCTTATTCTTTGCCAACAAAGTCGATGCCGAGGTCCTTGCACACCCGTTCAGACCCCCACGGTCAGTCCTCAAGAATGGGTTTAACCAGCAATGTCCAGGTTTTGGCGTCATACTTCCACAGGATCTCACTGCATACTGCTCAGATCGTAATCAACATGGAAACAGAGGCTCATCCCATGAAGCCCAGTGTGACAGTGTCTGTGTCAGCCATGACTGGAAGTCTGACTATAAAACCATGGCCAAGGACAGAAGGTAGGTCCAAAAAAAATGACAGTGTATGACATCAGCTGACAAACAGGCTCACATAAAATGTTTAGCTATTGTTCTGTTCATGCCATCCTTAGTCAGGGCATTATTTGTATTAACAAATATCTAAAAGTAGGGATGTAGACATTAAACTCTTTAGGAAGAAGTTACTAAAAAAATAGCAGTGAGAAATCGATTTAAATTTTTATAGATTTCAATTACTATTAAGTTCCTTTGAAATGAGAATAGCTCTTCCTGTCTCCTTTTTGGCTTCAACCAAAGTTTATTAATTTTGTCAATTATTTCTAAAGGGACAAATGTTGAATACAAAAATACATTATAAATGGAACCACAAAACCCGAAGCAGGTAACAAAATGAATGTACAGCCATTCACCTCTCCAGTCAGACATAAATGATATAATTAATCATCTATAATCATGGCATTTATATGCTTAGATATTCAATAAGTGATATTGTTTAGATAATAGTTTATATTAGTATAATATAGTTTAGGCTATTTTACCTTTTACCAGTCATTTAAAAACACCCCTCTCTCTCTCTTTCTCTCTCTCTCTCTCCCCCCCCCTCTCCCTCTCTCTCTCTCTCTCTCTCTTTCTCTTTCTCTACCTCTACTTAAGCTTCAGGGTTTTTTTTACATTCACCCTCCTCTTATACTCCGACCTCAGTTAATGAACAATGTGTATCACTACAAAGTAACAGGTATCTGGACCTTAGATGACTCCATTAGGTTTTCTCAGTATGTGAAAAGTAAAAAAAAATCAAACCCATTGATGTAATTCATCGTCATATTCTGTTTTTTCTCAAGTTATTACCACTTGTTTCACAGAATCATTTGTAAAAAAACAGGTGGAGCTGCATTGGAAACAACTGCAATGACTTCACCGCCTTTCACAGATTTTTATCGTACATATGTTACAAAAAAAAACAGTTTTTGGACAGCGCAGTACACAATCACCACACAAAGTACTGTATGTGTACTTTTTTAGGATATTGTGTCATTCGTCTAGATACTCTAACTAACTGTACGAGCCAGCAGGAACCAGGCCAGGTCCTTTGAAAGTGAAGTGCAGCTATACAGAGACCTAAATGTCCAATAAAGATGTAGTGAAGGGCAATTTGTTCTACTTCTTTTAATTATCTTGTATAACCAAACTAATGTTTGATGTGGACAAAAGCTCTAGTGCTATAGCCAGTGCCCACCTCTCTTATTTAGGTTAGTCCCTCGTATTAAGGTTTGTTAGGAAAGCAGCTAAATTGAAGAAGACGGATCATCATACATATTTAATGTTACAATATTTACAGTGACTGCTCCAAAGAAACTGATCATAACTCTGTAACTTGTAGGCCGGTGGTATTGCCACATTTCATACAGAAAGGGCTGTTAAGGGCTAAATATCAGATTATATTTTTAAAGAAAAGTATAAATATTTCCAATACTGTAGTCAGTTACTCTATCATTATTATGTTAATTGTTGTTTTTTTAAAAGATTTTTCACTAGTTGTTAAAGACAGAGACCCTCTAATACGACCATGAAAATGGAAAATATACAGTACAACAGTGTTGCTTCCAGAATAAAATGGACAAAAAATGTGACTTTATACATACTGGGAAAACCGTTCACCTGCCAGAAACATGGTTTGTCTGTAAACTGTTAAGTGAGATGTTTGTGTTAGCCTTGGAATTTGGGCTGTGTGTGTGTGTGTTTGATTGCATAGGTATAAGTGTGTGAATTGTTCACACACTCATCTTTGAGTGCGAGTGAAAGCAAGGTGTTTGTTTTTGTGTTAGTAAGAAAATCTTGCCCTCATCAACATTGAATATAACCCAGAGGCGTCAAAAGTGTTTCCATCATAACAATCAGATCTGCTAATACTGAACCAAATCATGAGGCTTCCAACATCTCAGTGCCGCTCACTGTGAGCCAGCAAAGTGTAAGAGATCATCTGGAATTGTTGGTTTGTTTTTAAGATTGGACTGTTCTCTGGCATGTCCTTCAAACTGAACACCAGATGTAAATAGAGCTTTGAAAGACAGTGGAGTGCCATATGCACAAAAAGGGACATGGAACAAGCTGATTTATTATTTGTCAGGTTGATGGTTTGTGCCTGAGCACTGCCGAGCAACATGTCCCCTGTGTTGTGGGAGCAGAGGGACAAGGATGGAACTAAAACGTGGTTCCCTAAGTGCCTGCATCTGTGTTGCAGATGCTGTTGTATAGGGTTACTTCAGATAAAATGATTGTCAAAAATGTTAATTAAAACCTCAAACAATTTGCACTTCGTTTACCCAAATCTGCATAACTGAACGGTGACACAACACTCGGCCGGTCCTGCCCTGCCCTGATTTTCACCAGCTTTTCAGCTTTCATCCATACTTCAATAAACACAGTTGAGGCTGTAAGTGCGATGCAATGGAAAAAGAAATAAAGTCAGAGACAATATGAAGAGGAAATACCTCCCACTCACTTTCCATTCATATGATCCTCCTAATTATGGTTACGGTTCTTTTGACGCGTACAGTTTTGATCAGATCTGATGATAGTGGTTCTTTGGTGTATTCCATAGTTAAACACTGAGAGTTACATGGAAATTATTTTTCCCATCGGTACCTACAGAATTATAAAGATTTGATTGGGAAATATTCCCTGCTAATGGATTCTAGTTTACTGTAACTTGCTATTCAGCAGCTGGACACCTTCATGGTAGTATGGTAACTCTGAGAGTGTAGCTAAATTTGGCTTTTTGTGAATTATATTTTAGTTATCTCCACAGAAATCCCCAAATTGTTATAGTTATCTGTCTAGTTAAGTTCAAGCTTTTGGACAAGAATACAAATAAAGAGATATAATATTACGTGGCACAATGCTAAATATATTTGCGTGAAGGAGTATTTCATTGCATGAGTCATTACAGCTAATTCTGTTAAATAATACATTTTTTTCTTCTCTTGATAACTTAAGTAAACTTATAGCTCATTTTCCCACAGGACTTCTTCACATAGTGCTTCCAGATTTGTTGACATTGAGCGGAGACAAAGTGTCTCAAATTACACAGACCGATCACTGGTGACAATGGATGTATCTGCTGACTCCTAGCCTCAGTTGCAGCACCTCCATCAGTCACAACAGTGTGACCTCTCCAGCTGGCTTCATACCTTCGAAAACGGATACCTTGGAATTTTTACAAAGATAAAGGTTGAAATTCCCATTCTGTAAGGTTAAGCATTCGAGCTGCCACAATAAGTTAGCGTGAACGTCCCCTGGGAGAAGCCGTACATGAAAGATGTAAGACGGGAGAATGTAGTGTTACTACCATTCGCTGTGTACCACTACTGCTGCTGTGCTGTTGCTTTACAGTGTCAGTGTCAGATTGATGGACCACATCCTGAACAGACTGCGGTATGATGCCAGTGTATAAGAGGAAGCAGAAGCTGTAAGAGAAGAAGGGTAGGACTTTTGAAAGAGAGGAAACAAGGAGGTAACGAAGACAGAGCAGGAAGAAAAATAGGAAGCTCTAAGGACCAAATGACTGGGAATGCAGCAGAAAATAAGTTGAAGAAGAACAGAAGAAGCAGAAGATGAAAATTCTAGCTTGGAAAAAAAATAACTTTTAGAAAGCAAAAAGAAGCGTGACAGGGTGATTAATCTGTGTGACGAGTAGCAGCGGTCTCTTAGGTATGTGTCTGTACAGTCACCCTGTCTTCATTAGTGAACATCCATAGCTGCACTAGGGTTAAGGTCCTGTCAGTCTGCATCGCTCCAACGTTTATTCCTCCACCCGTCATCCATGGAACATCTGGGACTCTGTACCTGGTCATAGCAAAGCCCCCCCTCTGCCAGGGGACAAGATGGAGCGAGAGGGGATTAGGTTGACAGTGAGGTGTGTTACCAGATCCTGTGTTAATGAAAAGCAAGTGGAAGCCCTGCTTTCCTGCCCCTGTCCACGACTCAACCCCTCCCCAAGGTAGGGGGGCATTTATAGTTCAATGAGACAAAGGTTGGGAGGTGGGCAGGAGAGAGAACAGATGTCTTAAGGTCCATGAAACAAGACCCTCCCTAATCTCTCAGCTCTCCGTCACACTGCCCATAGAGTGCCCCCGATTTCCTCCGAACAAGAGCATGTGCACACGCTCAGGCCCAGACGCTAGTACTGGTGCACACTTACACATACAGTGTACTTGTGCAACAACGCACACACTAACTCAGATACACACACCTCAAGCTCTCCCCATGGTCCTTTGCCTTTGTGGAAATCTTTTTGTTGGTGATTTACTTTAGCACATTGCGGAGGAAAACACATGTTCTCTGAACAAAGTCAAAACTACCTTGGATTTATTTATATTTCCTCTCTCTCTCCTAGGTTTTATTTTGTTTCCCCAGCTATGCTCATGTCAGAGTGTTTACCCTGCTGAAAGATGGCTCATCTTTTCCATTTATCTGCTGATATTTTTTTTTTCAAAAGTCAGAGTTTAAGGATGAACAAAGCCAAATTGGAAAGAGATTTACACTTTAAAATACACCCTGCTGTGATTTGACACACAAACACTCCCAATAAATATTTTTTTTATCACATTAATGTTAGTCATTTGTTGAGGAGATGACATTAGACATGAGCTTTCTGGGTGGAGTTTTTAACTAGAATGGACTGAAAGAAAAACTTAGACGTGCCACTGTGATGAATAACTGCTGATGATCACTGCTGATGGATTGAAAACACATATTTCAAGCATTAAAAAAGTTTGAACAATCTTTTTTTTTTACTTGACAAACTATTAGTATGTTCTCATGAATAATGACCTAACCTGACCTTTTATATATTTCAAAATATAAAAATTTAGCACATTTATAATAAAAATGGGGTTCATACAACTGAAGTGCAAGGAAAGTTTATATCCTGATAAACTAGAAGTAAAGTTTAACAGACATATTAGCAGCTGGAAAAAACTCAATGTCTTGGACAGGTTTACTTCAGGACTTTTGTCTTAGACATAAGCACCAACACAGAAAAATGGCTATAATTTATTTAATTTAGAAAACAGATTACTCCTTGCTCCCCATCTCAACTACTTAATCCCTCTAATCTACCTTTTTACTGTTTACTTCAATAGTGGACAGTGAACCAAAGGCTCTGATATATTCATTTGTTTCATATGTGCACCTTGCTTCGTGCAGTCAATATTGAGTCTTTGTTTCAGGTCTTATCAGGCTATTAAATGATGCAAAATGCTTGACGGTTCTATTATCAGCTATGTACAAAAAACCTAAAGCCAATCTAGTTGTTTCTTTAATATGTCTGTTCTTGCCTGTATTTTTTGCCATTTTTCTCTGGCTCTTTGACACACACAAACTGCTGCACTAATCTCAGCCTGCAGCTGTATGAGTTCAGTGGCCTCAAGTTGACCTAAAACCCAGTCATTTGTCAAGATTCATCAAGATCAAGGTTGGGTAGCAGAGTGGTACAAAGTGAAAACAGTGTGAGATATCTCTATTTTACCATATCAACACTAATATGACTCTGCAAGGAGTTGAATTATTTAAAAAAAATGAACACGCATCTACCATATGTAATTTGTTTATGCGTTTCAGCTGTTATTGAACCCATATGTTACTCATCAACACTCATCAGTTGCTGTATTTGTAACAGCTTGGCTGACACACAGCTCCCTGCACAGTGCCATTTTGGCTGACAGCATCCCCTGCTATGAAACCAGTTTCCTCTAGTGTCCTATAGTGGTCTTGTGGTGAGTGAATAGTGTATATCTGTGGTGAGTGACAGTATATTACTTCTATTACTCTTAGCATCCCAGACAGTCTTTGGGGGCCTCTGCTAGTTAGGTAATGACTCCTTTAGGTTTCTACTAATTGATACCAGTGTGTCCCGGAGCATAAATCTACCAGGCAGTGGTCAGATAACGGCTGCCAGGCAAAAACCGACACAGTAAATCTGTCTCAGATCCTATCTAATCTTACCCAAGTGTTTGCTGGAGATGTATTTCACTTTAGGGAAGATTTCCATACACCCTTTTCCACCACCCACTTTGTTTCTCAGCTGTCATAGCTTGTTGAAATATGTAGAAAGTGGATATATCTTCTGTCCAGCTGTTATATTGGACGTACAGTTCAGGTGTTAATCTGTTAAAATTCTAACTGAAAAGAGTTTGATCAAAGTTGATTTTCAGTTGTCATGCATTAACTTGTTATATTTGAAGTGGTTTGTAAAAAAAACAAGACCCTGAAATTGCAGAGTTTTTTTTTTTTTTAATGTCAATTGAGTTTCTATTTGTGCTCGTCCCTACTCTAAGGGTTAAGGTCTATAGTTGGCGCTATTGTCTAAGTGCTTTCTTCCCATTTAATCAATTTCTATTAGTGAGAGGAAAATAACAAAAAAAGCTTGTTGGCTTTTTTATTTCAAATATATGTTAGACCATTGTAGAAGTTAAATAGAACAAATGTTACTTTATGTAATAAATAATGTGTTACCTGCCTCATCCGTGAACTTCTTGAACATTCTTGTTATCCAGTCCATCACAGCTCAATGGTCTGAGGTCATTGGACCATTGCTGCACAACACTGGAAGTTGAGTTTTGCCCCAGCGATATGCTTGTTCATGGCAAAAGTAGGGAGAGAAAAATGATGGAGAAATGTGCCTGTGCTTATGATTCGACCAGGATGAAGAAAGAGAGGGATTCCCCCTTGTTAAAACCACTCCCAATTAGGGTGATTTTTGGATTGTTGGCTCCTAGCGGCTGCTGCTGTTGCTGGCGGCTTTAACACCAGGATGCTGTGGTCTGCTGGGCTTTAAATGACGCGTGGTGAGACGAGAGAATGCTGACATGTATATGTTTTCAGCCATTTAGATGTGCTTCTCACAATGTATCGCACTTACTGTTTTTATTATGTGTCTGCGTTGTCAGTGTGCTTTTTGTCTCAGTTTATACATGTTTGAATGAAAGATTCTCAATTTAACAAGCAAGGGTGGGAGTTTCCCCTGAGCTGTCCTCGCCATATAAAATAAACCTGATATCCACAGTTCAATAGATAATGCATAACAGCTTTCACTGGGCTGTAGCAGTAGAAAATGCTAATTGTCAATTTGTACCAACAATATCTATCATAAGTATAGTGTTATCCCACATTTATATAAGACATGCTCTTGTTCTTATTTCATCATGTACAGTGTGTTAGGGTTTCCCACAGTCTCTGGTTCAGCTTCTATTTATTTAGAATTCTAAATTCTAAATGAACATTATATTTGAAACTGAATTGCTCACTGATTAGACAGGGCCACTTTGATTAATCATTGTTATTTAACATCTACATTATTATTAATGTGAATGTGACATACATCAGAAATTCCTGTTTTGGAATTTCAGGACACATGTTTCTATAGAGATTAAATTTTTAGCAGTAAAATGTTACAGTGCCTGTGCCTGTGTTTGACTGGCCTGCTTGCAGTACAGATTTGTTATTTTCTATAATGAACATAAGATTTGGGACAATAGCAACCACACATTATTGATATGGCTTATGAAGTTACTATTTGTAATGCATGAGACTGCTTTGTTTGCTTTTTCAGCGTCTAGTGTGAATCTTTAAAAAGCTTGTTTAAAGAGCTGCTTCTCGGGGCGTTATTAGTCATCCAGGGTTGAGGTTTCCAAGTGGGCTGCCACAACTTTGACTCTAAATGACCAGATCAACCCTCCCATGTCAACGACGTTTGGAAGAGGTTTGGGTCTTCTGATTTATGGGACCACATGGACAAGGTTGGGACAGCCCTGCGATGACAGTGGCACATTACTATTTTAATGGAAAGGACAGAGGTTTCTTAATTTTATTACTCTGGGGGTTTTTGCTACTTTTAGTTCCTCCAGGATGAGTTGGTGTTTGGCTGCACTCTCCCACTTCTTCCACTGTTCATCTCATTCAAGTTTGCTAAACATTTTAGGTAACCAGATCATAGAAATACTCTATTTGAATCTGAGTCTCTGTGGGTTCAGCCAGATGTAACAATGTCCTCAAAACACCTCCAAAGAGACATGCTCAGTAGATGGTTGTACATGTTGCACTTGTTTTAAGCTGTAAGATCCAACTGAGAAACTCAGTGTCTCCTGGCAGGTGTAATGATAGAATATGAATGTACTGTAAAGAGTTACTGATTTTTGATTAGTATTATAAGTATTGCAAACACTTAACTTAATAATATAGATAAAAAACTGACAATGCAATGCATCACTTATCTCTAACACTCATCATCTCAATAGTTATGCATAAGTAGTTAACGATTTCACCTCACCTGAACTCATATACAACATTTGATGGCATGTATTTTTGCTTTTACCTGTTCAAAATGTTATTGCAAGTGCAATGTGACATGACTTAATTTCTTTTAAGGAATGAACTAAGCCACATTATTTTTATAATGTATGATGACTGAGCACACAGATAGGTGTTTTCAGCTGTCTCCCAAATAATGAGGTAAAAACATAGGGTGGTAACTTGTGAGGAAAAGGTTTATGTTGCAAAAACAAGTTGATGATATCACTTTTCCATCTGTGTTGTCCATGACATTCACTGCTACTGTTTCTCTCTTCACAGACATGATTCAGGCTGCCTCTGTGCAGCTAAAGCTACAGGATTTGCTAGTGAGAACTGGGCTGAAGGACCAAAGTCATCTCCTGCTGGGACCTTTCTCCTGCAGCACCTCTCTTGAAGCACGCTGGTGTCGGCACAGTGGTAGCCCAGGACCTGAGCCCGGCCCCCCTAAACTGCTGCTTGATCTGAAAGGAGGCCTGTTGCAGGTTTGGCCCTGACACAAATTCAGCTATAATTTATCAAGCAACGTAGCTACAGGTTTGAGAGGTCAGGGTCAGATCAGCACCTCTGCACCTGGATATAATTGAGCGTCTTGCTCAAGGACACTTAAGCCTTTGGGCCTAAGTGAGGGTCTAGTTTGAAAAGCAGACTGCAATCACGAGGTGGTATTATTGTCCACTAAAACATTATCTCAGTTCTGGCTGACTCTGGTTTCCAAATTAAGCCCTAAAGGATTCATAAGCTGAAATCCAGAGACACAGGTCATCACACTCTTAACACTTCTCTTAAAATTGCTGGTCTCTTCAGCTCTACCATGGCTTCTGTCCTCTGTGCTGCCAAAGTGATGACAGTGAGAACAGGATGCTGTAATTCCACTGCAGATTTGAGTCACATTTGGTGGTTAAGTGGTGGAATATTATAAAGCTTTTTGGGAGGGTGACTGATACATTGTGTGCCTTTTTTCCTGTCAAAAAAAGTTACATAAGGCACTGAAAATGTGACTAAGTGAACACATTATTACTAATGCATTATTCCACTTGACTTCGTCAGTGGCAACTCCCCTCCCCCTTTCCCGCTGACTGTTTTTCTTAATCTTTTTATTGCGTGCCTATTAACAGAAACATCATTTGCAAGTCAACACTTAATACGTAATCATACATTTCCCCTTCACAAATATTGGCGTTTGTGGCATTTTAATCAAGTGCTGTACAAAACCACTGGAATTCCCTCCAGTTCCCTCTTCCCGTCCTTTCTTTCCAAAAACCTGAAAAAAAATCCCCTAAATTTTCCTGTTTTTAGTTTTAGTCATAACCCACCCTAGCGAGCTAGTGAGCAGCGGGCAAACAGGCAGGCAGCTCCATGTGTGAAGAGTTTTTGACTCACAGATTCCTCATCTGTTGTCCAAACCCCAGACAGGCCCACTTTGGTGGTGTATGGGAAGGGGAATGCCACTGGTAAGTCCTGTACAGGAAAAGGAAGGTTAGGTTAGGTAATGTTTGAAAGGAATTTTAGGGGTGATCCTGAAGGTGACCTCTGTATGCTCCTCTTCTTGTGATGGAATGCAACATGATTTATTTCCTTCCTTATTTCTTTTTCTTTTACAACTCATCCTCTTTGACATTTTAATTTCCTTGCTCTAATTTTAATCCCATCCATTGTCTCCTCCCTCCTCAGGTCTTTTGGGCCCAAGAACATGTAAACTGCTTGAAGCTGGTGGAGGAGCACCTCAGGGGTTACCTTGATCTACACACACAGGATCCAGCTGATAGCGAGGCCAAGGATAAACCCAGTCACTCTCAGTCACCCCCCTCTCCAGGCTCTTCTTCTCCTCAGACGGAGCACAGCTCAGATGACCTGCGCACTGGTCACTTTCACTACATCAAGGACTCAGGTAAACCATCAACAACAACATACACATGTCAAAGAAACAAAAACAAAACAAAGTTATGTTTGAAATAACCAAATCCACCAGGTTTTACAGTACATACATTTCTACAAACATTACTTGTTTTCTCATTTAAAACAGTAAAAAAGTAGTTAGGAAATGAAAAGGTAACATATTATTTGCTAAAATATGCAAAAACAAAAAAGGGTAAATGCCAACCAAAAATGAAAAATTATAATTTCTAAAACTTGATTACCAGAATCAAGTTTCAAACTGACAGAAATCTAGTCAAGGACAGGTAGAAATTTACTAGAAATGTTAAAAACTCACTGCTCCTTATAATTTGCAATAAAAAAAGGCTTAAGAAAGTCAAAGATTCCCTGAATGTGAATGTTAAGCAGCAGTACAAACACTGAAGAAGTGAATGTTCCTGGTGCTTGTTTTGTCAGCTGGTCTTTTTATAAATAATCACGGAACAGACAAATACATTTAAACGTGTCAAAGATGAGGCTTTGTTCAAATATATATTTCTCCTGTCTGTTTCTTTAGTACTGAATTTATAAAATGAATCATTCACAAACTTAGATGAACAGAGTAGGATGTCACTGAAGATACACACACACACGCGCACGCACACACACTTAAATGAGAGTGAGATCAAAGCTGTGTGTGGAGAGACGTTTCATCAGACACGTCTGCCTGGTTCCACTCTGAGCTGCATGCTGTTTATTCTCCCTCTTTGTGCTCTCTGAGTGCTCTGTCTCCTACATGCAGACACACACACACAGATGCAGGATCATTATAGACTTTGGATCAAACTTCTCCCTGGCTGTGGACCAGCCGTCCACTCTGTCAGCTGTGGTTGAGTCTTTGTTTGTTGCACCGTTCCACTGTTCTTTGATGCATTTATTATGCTGACTGAAGCAGGAGAATGTACAGTAGTAAACCAGAACAGAGGGGACAATCTGTCAGCAACATGTTGTCAGCGGTCAGCAAGAACAGGCCCCCAGGTTCAGGGAACAATTGCTGGGCCCTCAGGGGCCTGACACTGGGATCATGGTCAGAGAAGCGGATGAAAGACAAATAGAAAGAAATAATGAAACCGTTTTCTGTCTCTGTTTCTCACTTTGGTCTCAATTGTGCCTTCACAAACAGAAAGTAAACTTCATGAAAGTCTTTTTTTTTTCATCCAGCCTGTTTTGCAAAAGAACAATACCTTGTCCACCTTCAAGTGGCCAACCTACTGTTCTGCATGGAGGCTCAAATAAGCCACAGACAAATTTCACTGCCTCTTGAAATGTGTTTTCTACAAAGAAAGTCTCAGTGTTTGTATCCCCAGCGGCCAAACAAAGCAGAAGTTCTGCTCTTGGTGGATTTTTTTTTTTTCAAATAAACATTTTTCCAAAGGACTTGAATCACAAACAGCAGCCAAGACTGAAGTCAAACAACACTCAGACGTTTAGATCTCACTGTTGTCCAGCTGTTACAGGTGCAAAGCTCAGTCCTTGGTTGTTTAGTCAATTGCAAATCTGTTTACTTAGCCACCTTGTTTATATTTGACCTCCTACACATATACACACACACACACACACACACACACACTGGTTTGCCTGCTAACATCTATAGTGTTTCTCAGAACATTTTATGTGGGTGGGGTTAATTTTTATTTTCAATGCAACCATAAAATATTATTGCCTCCAGACAAAACTTGTGTATAAATATTCTATGACTCAAAAGCTCATCTTAATGTAATTGAAAGAAAGATGTTTTTCCATATGGATCATAAATATTTCAGTAAGCATGTTAAGTCTCTGAACAGGCTCTTTGTTATGAGAGTCTTAAGGAAAATGTGTTTTAAACTACTGGATATAAGCAACATTGTGAACTCTGCTGTACATTAAACTGTTGAATCCATCCAAATGCCTTTCAGTCCATCCTCTGCTTCTCAGTTGCTCTTTCTGTTATTTTGTTTGATCCACTATCATGCTTCATCTTATCCTCTTTTTCTTTGTTTCGGCCAGCTTTAGCCTCATGTCTTTTTCATTTTGTCCTATATTGATATAGTATATTTTCCATCTGTTCTCCTCCTGACTTTTTCTGTTTCCTCTTATGGTCAAGTATAAGTTTACTTTTAGATTTCTGTCGGATTAAAGTAAAGCTATTCTTATACTTTTCACAATCCTTTGCAGCGTCCCATCGACTGCCAGGACCCCATGAGGTGACTTTCTTCAGCGAAACAGAGGACAGTCCTGGAGTGATGCTGTGGAGATACCCTGAACCCCGTGTCCTCACCTTTGTCAGGATCACTCCTGTGCCCTTCAACACCACAGAGGACCCCGAGATCAGTACAGCTGACCTGGGTGATGCTCTGCAGGTAACGAGAAACAATGATTTATTGGCTCCGTTAGAACGTGTAAAACTTTGTAATAATCTTTGTAACGAAGGAGCAGTATGAGAGAGACTAAACTGCTCTCACTCACTGCTCCCTTCCTAACATCACCTGCAATGAAAGAGAAATAAACTGTCTTGGACTTGGGCCGTGTTCCATAATGATTCCCATGACATGAGTCATGAGAACTCCCATACCCTACAAGTTATTGAATGACAGAGACTCCTGCTGTTCTTCCAAACATGTAATACATGATCAGACAGCTGTGGAAGTCATTCTGCATACTCTGGTGTGAATAGCCAGGTGTCTCCGTCCCAGATGAGGTTATATTTTGGCAGGCTGTAGCAGCTACTGAGTCTTCAGGGCCTCGCCGGGGGAGAGGACATCCCACTTTTCCTCCTATCACTCATCTCCTGCCTTTCTCTCTGCTGCTTCTTAGTCCAGGTTTTTCATTCTCCAAGGAACCCTGCTCCCAAAACCCATTCTTTTGCATCCTCCCTAGTGCTCTCGTCTTTGAGAAATTCAAAGTCATCAGCGTTTCTTAGCTAACACGTTACTGCTGTATTACTAAGTGTTGGTCACTTGTTGGTCACTAAATGGCAGTTTTTAGTATCTTTAATCCAAATTAAGATTTAATTGAAAAGATCATTTTCAGCTCCTGGTAAAGCATTAGCTTATGCATCCATGAAACAACAGTGAGCAGTAGTTCATGGCTGATGCAACAGTTTAAAAAAGTAACAGCACGTACAGCAAATAGAGAAAACCCCTGGAATATTTTTCCAAATGTGACTCATTCCTCATAAAATATTTATCCAAAGTTAATGTTTCTATCCCAAAATTAATCTCAGTGACAAACTTTTTTAAAGCTCAGTTCTTTTTAAGGATTTTGGAATGACATATATAAGCCTCAAAGTTGGCCTTCATTTTCCCACTTCTGTTTCGTTTTTTACCATCTGCAGCATAAGTTTCTCATCTTTCCATATCCTCCCTTTATCTCTCAGATTCTTTCCCGAACTCCCACCATCATTTCACCTACAGTACAGATGTTTTCTTCAGTCTGTTTATGTGTGCCGGCCCAGGAGAGGCAGAGATATTGGAAGGTTCTGCAGATGTCTGTCGTCCCAGCGAGGCCCCACAGCTGTAAAGTCTGTAATGAGCAAGGACTCCAAAATGTGTAGCTGATTGGCTGCATATTGAGTTACAGCAGAGAACAGATAGAGTTGATGTATTTGGTGAAAAAGAAGGCTGGAGGAATAGGCGGTGATAGACAGAGATGATAGGGAGAAGCTGGTTAAAGGGAACAGATTGACAGGAACGACGAGAGAGATGGAGCGAGAGGATGGTCATTTATGTACTGTGTGTGTGTGTGTTTGAAAGGTTTTCAGCAGCAGACATGTTCTTATCTGCATGAGAGTATATTACGCAGCAGGAGATGTAGACCCAGTGGTTGATTAACATGTGGTTTCCACATCTTTCACTCCACTCCTCCTGTCATCTGGCGTGGCCCTTTCCCTTCTGATGAGTCTTTTAAAAGGAATCAGGTGATGGGACTTCTGCAGAGGGAAGTGGTGAAAAGAGGACAGCTCACAGAATTGTCAAAACAGTTGTACAGCAGTATTTAGGATCTGATTCAAAAAGAAATGCAGCCGGCACTGTCCAAGAGCCATGTGTGTCAGTACATCAGGAACGGGTCTGCTAATTCTGCTGTTTTTGCGATTGTGACGTCAATGTAAACATCCTGACCGGGAAGTGAGGCCGAAACTATACGTCTGCAATGGGATACTTCAGCAGCTATGGCAATAAGCATATTACACGAGGTGCCATTATAGAATTAATGAAAAACATCACTTACAAAGTGTATATTTGAACTGGTTTGAATCCATTGTTGAAAGCCTCTCTGATGCATTTTGTCAACGCTGTTAAAAACAGTATCATGTGTCATGGGCTTTTTGTAAGAAGTGATTGTAGAGTAATTATTGGACATTTGATCCTTGTACAGATACGTAACACGGCCCCACTTACCTCATATTTTAGTCCAAACACTCACACAGTGTTAAGGACTCTGTATAGGAGACATGGTACTGGATCTATGTGGATTATTTCAGCTGGGCTTTCGTTCATCATCAGGCAAAGTCATTTTGATTGAAGATTTAACAGAGCTCAGCAGCTGCGAGTCCAAACCTTAATACTGCAGAGGGTGCTCTGAATCCTGTTGTCATGCTCTTGTCCATGACTGAAGTAGTCTGTAAGTGGTCTGTGAAGTGGTACACACTGTAACTGTTTGATTTCATTGATTTCATGTATATCCAAAAATCTATTATGTACAATTATATATAAAATCTTATATAATTCTATGTAAATATCACCAAATGTTACTGAGACATTATAGCTTACTGGAGTACTGTAGAAGCACCATGTGTTTTATACAGTAGAGCTGTACACCTCACTCAGCTTTGAGACAAAATTACATTTAATATTATAGCTGCACCATGCCTGTGTTAGTGTAAAAAAAGTGTGGATGAGTTTAAATGCCTAGGGACCATTCAGAGTAATGGATGAATTGACAGAAGTGAGTCCTGCTATGATGTCTGCTTTAGATACAGTAGGTAAAAAAAAAAGGCTGAGTTGGATGTTGAAGATGAATATTCTGAGATTACCTTGGCTGGACAGGATTAGAAATGAGCAGATCAGTGGAACAGTTAAGGTGGAGCAGTTTGGAGATAAAGTTAGAGGGGTGAGGTGGAGATGGTTTGGGCACGTGCTGAGAACAGTGGATCTTTCTATTTAACAAAACTTTAAACTTCAAAGTCACTTGCTTTACACCAAAGACCAGGAAGTTATTCTAGCTAAAGATGACAGAAATGTATTCCTAACAACTTAGAGAGAGAGAGAGAGAGAGAGAGAGAACAATTTCTCAGGCCTCTAAAATTACCATGTGGCCACATAAAGATGGAGGCTGATAGATTTTGAAAAATGAAAAGTGAGAGGCTTTGGGAACGAAAAATGCAGGTGGAAAAGAGGGTGATATTTAGTCCTGAGTTATGTTGTGATTTGTCACCACTGACAACTTTGTTTCCAGTTGAAGACCAGTTTACCTGCAGCTGCAGGGTAAAAAAATATATTTACCAAGAAAGAAATCTACCCTTTTACTCATTTTCATCTATACTAATGTCTCCTTTTCTCCTTGTGTTACCCCCCCACCCCCACCTCCTCCCTTTGCTCCCTCTCTCCAGCAAAGAGTATTGACTGGATGAAAAGGGGGGTCGGTGGGTTTGCCTGTCCCCAGAGTATATCATATTAACATTTTATAAAATCAAGATTTCCTGCATTTAAATAGTTGTGGTTTCCCAACTGGTTCCAGTATCTCAGAGGGGGAATTCAAACATCCTTCCATTACTCTATGTCAAATTGGTGCCTGGGTTATTTTTACATACTGTGCGATGGAAGCCTCATTGTTATGGGTGGAGCAGCAGAAAAGTGACAGATTTTTTACAAAATCAACCTCTTGTTCCCACCTGCAGTCGGTCCAAATGATGAAGGGATAGAAGGAGAACGGAAGGTGACTCATTCTCACCTCCCTACCTCCGTGTGGTCCAGTTCTCTGAATCATAAGCAGGTGTCTTTACTGTTCTTTTCCATCTCCCTCTTGTCGTTTTCACCTCCTTCTACCTCTCTGTGGGGTTCTGACGTCTGAGAAACCGAGGGTAAACACAGGAGCGGTGATTCAGTCAGTTGAGGCAGAGAAGTCCAGTTTAGCTTCAGCATGTAGTAAATCAAGCCAAACACTTTCTGTTCTAAATGCACACTCACATTGTCTCACTGCTGGTGCGAGGCATTGTCAATATACAGATGTTTACATTCAATCAATCACTCACTTTTTCAAGGCAGTTACCACAACCTGACTGACTTTTACAGACAAACACAACACCATCTGGTCCCCTGCTGTTGCCTTTGTGCATGGCACTGTGGGATAGGCTTTCAAGTTTCAGCAGGGCTTCATGCAGCCATCACAGCACTCACTGCTGGTCTGCAACCCTGTATCTTAAAAGCATTGTGGCCTGAGATGAACCAGCAACTTTAGGCCAAAACCACTGCCACAGCTGTTGTTTGTCTCATTGTTGTTATTATGAAAAACACAGGTCTGCTTTCAGCCTTGTCTCAAATTAATAGAAACACACAGCATTTTCGTTTTTTCTAAAAAACAGATGGAGCCATGGTCGGGCATTTCACTTTACTGCGACGTTGAAGCAGAAAGAGCGCCCGGGTATTTTGGCCAAAATAACTATTATTTTTGTGGGACAGCACTCAAGCAGCTCTGGATTAGTCACAGCTAATGTGCTGTAAAAATAAAAGACTGTCCATGTGGTTCATGTGATCCTGAGTACTTGCACCTCATCCTCCCAAATTCTACTCCCCTTCTGAAAAGTTTGGCATTGCAGGAAAAACAAAATAAAAGGATGAGTGTTACGATCCCCGCATGGGCTTATTCTCGATTTTCCACACTGATTAATGTTAACGTGTATGAGCCCACCTGAGACAGCACTGCAGGAGTCATTTTCAGAGCAATTTTCATTACATCTCCTGAGTAAACATTTGCTCAAGCTGATGTCAGTTCAATTTGTCTGCCTGCTGATAAGAAGTAGCTAGCGGAGGAATTTTCAGACATATAAGCATCAGTGGAATAACAGAAGACCTAATGGCAGTGTTGATGTTGTTAATACAAGTAATGGCAGTCAAGGCTGTGGATGTCAGTGGCCACAGCCTCTGCCCAGCTCAGGGAGTCTTCAGTTGCACTGACACATTATTTGAACTGTAGCACTGATCGCACCTGGGTTTACTTGAAAACTGAAATTATTCCACCATACGTTTTCCTTCCTTTAACTTGTATATTTTATGCTGTGTTTTCATTTTGGTAAAGGGGTCAATAATTTGCAGTGTAGCCATTATGGATAGATAAGAAGATAGTTACATTGTCTCATAATGTTTTAATGTTTTTACTGTCTTTTCTTGTATTGTGTACGGTGACCTTGAGTGTCCAGAAAGGCGCCTATAAATAAAATTTATTATTATTATTATTATTATTATTATAGTCAGACAGACAGTAGAAGTTTGGGTTTAAACATGTTAAATATTATACTATTCACATGTTCAAGGACTTTTCAAACTAAAACTGAACTGTGAGTCACACTACTGCCACTTTTACTGCCATAGGGTCACACAGTGGTCACTAATTACTAATTCAGGCTTCTTCCTGTGCAAGAGGAAGCACCATCCTCTGACCTTATCTTGCACCCTGCAATGTTGAAAGAAGCATCCTATGAAAGTCAGCTGGGGCCTCAGTCATGGTCAGTTTAAGCTCTGACATACAGGAGGAAGGGTCAGACTGGCTGCCGCTCTGGTAGAGATTGTGATTGGTCAGTCGATGCAGAGTGCCTTTGTTTTCCTGCAGATAATACTCTAAACACACTGTGTTTCTGAATATAAATATATGTTTGTCCAAAGTTTTATTTGTACGCTGTCAAATGAGTTTTCCGCTTGAACCAACTTTAAATATTATACCTTGACTCAAAGATCGAGATTCCTCAGCTGATATTTTACCCAGAGTTCTCTCTGCCAGGCCTGTTGTGCCAAGAGTTTGAGGAAAAACTCAATTTTTAGTTTCATCCAGCCAAGGGAATGTCATCCGTTCAGAGGTAAATGTTGTTTATCAGATAAGGTACACACACACACACAATCAAGAAGTGGAAACTGACACAGGCCAGAATGTATCATGCACTCACACACATAAGCACACCTGTGTATACACATGTGTATACATGTGTATTGTCTTTCATAGGTGCAATTACACATAGGCATCCTCTCAAACAGTTATATACACTTCGTCTGACATGTATACAGGTTTATTCTCCTTCCCAAACTCAGTGCCAGACGTCCAACTCAACAAAGCTTAAATTTATTTTATTCTTTTTTTTTTCTTTCTTCCATCATCCCTGTAAGATTTGGATGAACGGGTTATTGATTTCATTCCTGTTCTCCTCCAAGGCCAGGAGCACAAGTCAGAGGGAACATGACGTAAATTCAACCATGCAAATGTATTCCACTGTACTCTATATGTGTGTACCGCATATTCATTTCTGAATGCGGTCACGTGTATTAAATATCACAGGTGGAAAAAGGCATGCTCTGCTTGCAGCAGTCCAGTTCTGGCTATGCTCTGTGGAGATTTCCTCTTCAGTGGCTCAGTGTGGGGGTTGCGGGTGCAGAACTCTGTCAGGTGCAATTATGAGAAGCTGATTCCAGGAAAGCCCTTGTGGCAGTAAATACATGATATAATACATGATACAAGTTACAGTTACTTCATCCATCAGGCTCACATGGACGAATGAACAGACACATAATCGTCCTCTCTGTGAGCCCTTGTCCCCTCGTGAGCATGTACACAACAGCTTGTTGATACTTCCGTGATTTTGGTAATTGTCCTGGGAGCTGCAGTGCCTCTGGTTAACTGTTAGACTGTCACAGACACATGTGCACCACCTAATGTACTCACTTACTGCACACACATTTGCACACTGGCTCATGGCCTGGCATCCTTCAGGTGTGCTCCAGAGACGCCTGCCACTTCTGATCCATCAGTAGTGGCCTTTTGCCGGTGGTTGAGAGGGGACAGACCACCTGGTTCCGTTCACACAGGAGCTCCAGACACATTTATGCTAATGTGAGAGGAACCGAAGGAGCCTGAGCAGTCGTCACATAATGTGAGAATGTTCACAGAACCCGATTGCTACTCAGTGTGAGAAACTTCTCCGGGTTCTTCTGTGCTAATGGCTACCTGTAGCAAACAGTCACAGAGTGTTTAGTTAGTATTGGTAGTGGTATGAGGAATGGTCTGTGGCTGTGTTGGTGGTCTGTGGTAAAGTCACCTTTCTCCGAAAGAATAAATGAATAAATGTATAACATATTAGTAGTATGTATATTACTAATTATATTTAATATTATATATATATATATATATTTGTACTATATACATATATATATTCACATCTAATAGAGTACAAATAATTTGGAGTATAATACTTGTGTAAACATTTAATGTTTATTTCCTACAGGTACCATGCAGCCTGGAGTACTGGGATGAGCTCCAGCAGACCTTTGTTCCATACCGTGATTTTAGCCTGTCAGAGAGCACCTCCTGTCAGCTGCAGCTCCCCAGCCTCAGCCTGGTGGACCAGCAGAAGGAGCTAGTGGCTGCGGACCTTTGGAGGATTGTTCTCAGTAGTAATGGAGAAGGAGGAGACGAGCAAAGGTTGGAGGATTTCTTGTCTGCCTTTATCTTATGCTCCTTTCTTGTGCCCGCAGGTATCTATAGTTATTGCGTCTTTACAGCTGACCTTGTACATCACAGATCACAGACGTGTGTGCGCATACCTGTATAGTAACTGTTTGGTTCTACAGTACATTTTCCGTCTGACGTGAGAAAAAGCAGAAAGAGAGAAAGAGCACCCAGGCCACTGAGCACAAAGCTCGTAATGTGTCCTTCGCCCCACATCTGGTGTGCAGGAGCAGGGAGCGGGCTTGGAAGGCGTTCAGATTGGCCTAATGAGATTTCCCAGCACACCAAGTGCCTGTCAGGGCCCATCCGGATTCCTTCCTGCTTACCTTGAGTGTATCTAATTGAGGAGAAGCTCACAGGAAGCAAGAGGAGTAAAACCTCGTTCGGTTTGGCCAAACCTGGGTTGGGCTGGGAAGGGTTGGACTGGTCTATAGGTCGTTTGAACACCTCACAGACATGCTTTCACTCCCACGTTCCTGCTTCTCCTCATCATGACTCTCGTATCTCACCCAGCATTCTCCCACATATTCTTCTTTTCTGCCCCTCTTTTAGTTATTTCTGTCTTTTTAATCATTCTTTTACCAATTTTAATCGAGTCTTCGCTCTTACACTTCCTTTTGGGATCTACAAAATTCTCAGTGGAAGAAAACGGTCAAGCCCACATAATGTGTGGCTCAGAAAGCTGCA